CACCTCACCCTCTCTCCCCATAGGAGTAACTGCCGTGGCACAGACAATGAGGCTGTATTGATTAGTACAATTCCTGGGCACCTCCGGCCCGTCTCCCCGGGAGCTGGGACAATGCAGCTTTGATACTCAGAGCAGATTCTCAGCAGGTCCTTGGGCTGGGGGAGCCTTCACCCCCCTACTCGCCTCCCCCTCGCCCCCACCACAAAACTAACTCTTCCTGCACTCCTTTGCACAGTTGCAACTTTCTGGGTCACTTTGGCTGGTGTCTGTCTAGCTCCCTGGCTGTGCCTGCCCCTCCCTGGCACAGACCACTCAGCCCCTCGCCCTACTGCCAGCTCAGCCTCCAAGCCTGCCTGGCACCAGAGAGGGGGCTTGACCTTTGGAAAGTGACTGACCTGTTCTGGGGATGAAGGAGCCACATGTCCATGAGCTGCGGCCATCCTGGGTGAGGGTTTGGAACACACGTGTGTCTCCTCTGCTCATTCACACCTCTGCCAGTTCCAGTGCGACACTGATGCATCCCCTGCCTCTCCCACTGCTGGGCTGGGCAGCGTCAATTACTTTCACCTCATCTCCTCCCGAAGCTCTGCCTCCCCCCCGCCTCGGCCCTCCCTCTCCGGCCAGTCCCCATGCAGCGCTCGGTACTCCACAGCTAGAGAATGAGGCATGGGGTTTGTTGTGTTTTTCCCTTGTTCCCAGCAAGTTACTAGAACAAAACACACACACACACACACACACAACCACAGAGAGGGGCAGGGCAAGCACAAGAGAAGGCAAGAAGACGGATCATTCCCTCCCAGAGCTGGGGGGGGGGTTCCAGGTAGGGGGATTGGGTGCCAATGAGTGAGGGGCTTTGCTTCATGGGGCACTGATGACAGGGCAGGAAGATGGAGGGTGCAGTTCAGGGCATTTCAGACCACTTAGAGTGGTGTGGATTGGGAGATACTGGGTCCTGTAGCTGTACTTGTCTCTGGGGACTTGGGGACCTCCCCCCAACCACCCAAGATGATGGGCATCCTCATAGGAGAGTGTGACGAACCATGCAAGAACTCTCTGGCCTAGTGACTGTGCCATCACCTGTCCAAAGAAAGACAGCCTTAGCCAAGACAGTAGTCATCACAGAGTCTAGACAAAGGGTGGCTGTGTGGAATAAGAACCCCTCAGGTACTGCATTGTCCAAAACCTGAGGTATGGGTCTGGGAGTTTGTGCTGTACACTGGGTAATCTGGGCAGTGTCCCCATGACTATGGTGAAATGTTACTCAGACCTAACCAATCCCTCTTCTCTAAAGGCCACACTCACTGGTCAGTTCCTAGCTGGCACCCAGACACCACAAGCCAGAGGCTAGGAAGGTGGGCATCAGTGTTCTGTACTGGGAAGATGTAAGTCCCTTTAGAAGCTGGTAAGATGGTAAAAGCCTGGAATACAGTAGGATCTTAGTGAATTTCTGTTAAATGGAGGCATGGATGAATTCTGGTGTAATGATAGCTTTCTTGTGAATTTGGGAAATGTAACCTCATGGAATTATTGTCTAGGGCAAGATGACATTTTAAAAAATGTCACAGGCTTTACAGTCAGACAGGCCTGGGTTCAAACCCCAGGTCTGCCAGTCTCTCATCATACATAACGGAAGTTGCTTAACATGACTGATCTCAGTTTCTGCATCTCTAAAATAGGGATAATATCTACCAGTCACTGAATCTAGTGAGCATTAGTAATAACAGTAATACACAATCCATATTAGGCACTTACTAGGAGCCAGGCTCTGTCCTAAACACTTCATATATACTAACTCAGTCCTAACAACAGCCCAATTAGGGGCTCCATTTTGTTGGGGGAGAAGGTAGAATGGGCCTTGGCTCCAGCAAGTCTCTAAGCATGGCCTCAGACCCCACTGGGCCAGCCTCATGCAGCCAGGTCCTCAGACACACTCCCCTGACTTCCTGCAGGCACAGACTGAGGGCCAAGGCCCTGGCTGGGCCACTGGCTTCAGGAAGGCCTAGTCACCCATGATGCCCAAATGCTTACTTCCACCCAGGGTGGGCTCTGGGCTCTGGCTGCCCTGGCCTGGGCTGGGTGCCCAGAACAGGCAGCCCTGGCTGGATGGCTTTCCCTAGCTCTGGCCATGGGGACAGGAGGCGGCAGTAGCCCAGCTGGGCCTTGGCCGTAATGAGGCCTCATTAGCAGGATCCAGCTGCTCCAGCCCCACTTCAGGAGGCCGACTCCCCCAGCCCTAGCCTCTGACTTTTCTAAATAAGAGTGGGCATCCTTCCAGAGGGGCAAAGAGTCTAGGGGTTTTGTTGTCCCCTGTGACTCTGGAGGGGGAGTCCTGCTGAGGCGTACTGGGGATATGGGGAGGGCTAGGGGGAGCTATATAAGGGGAAATGAGGCTGTAGAGCTGAGTAGATGGGCTAGAGAAAAGGGAAGGTGAAAGGGGAGGGAGAGCAGGGTCCTAGGGCCAGAGAAAAAGTATAAGGAAGGCAGGGCGTTTTCCTCTGGATCTCAATATTCCATTTCACCGGGGAGGTGATTTTTGCATATCTAGGACCAGCAGAAGGTCATTGCTTAGGCTGTCCTGGCTAGTAGAGCACTTCCTTATACAGTGTTTGCCACTCCTAAGCTAGGGAGATACCTACTGTGTGTCAAACCCTGTGCTGGGAAGGCATACACCATATGCCGGGACCTGTGTCAGCAGAGTACCCACTGTGTGCCAAGTCCAATGCTGGAGGAAAATCCATTATGTGCTAGATGTGTGTGAAGAGAGTGCCTACTGTGTGCCAGGTCTGTGTACCAGGACCTACCCAGTCCAGCACTGGAAGAATACACACTGTGTGCCAGATCTGTACTAGGAAAGCACCCACTGTGCACCAGGTTCTGTTAGAAGAGTGCCCACTGTGTGTTAGCCCATACCAAGGAATCCCTGTGGTGTGCTGGATCTTGTGCTAGGAAAGAACCTGATATATGCCCATCCCTGAGCTGGGTGAGCACCCACTGTGCACCTGGCATCATGCTAAATGAGTACCCACTGGGGTGGCAGACTCTATACTAAGGGAGTGCCCAGTGGGTGCCAAGTCTGAACTAGCTAAGCATCAGTCACATGCCAAAACTTGTGCCGAGTGCCCAGGGCTGACAGCCTTCTACCAAGGGAGCACCCAATGTGTGCCAAGTCCTGTGCTTGGTGACCTCCCAATACGTGCCAAGCCTATACTAGTTGAGTACTTGCTACATGCCAAGACTGTGTGCCAGGCCCTGTGATGAATGCTACAGACAAGAGGTATCCAAACTCTCAAGTCAAAGCATAAGTGATCAGGTCAGGGTGGGGCAGGTCCAGGTAACTTACGGTGTTTGCAGAGCCTTCTGGGATTTAGAAACCCTGGCACTCAGAGCCCTAGTGTCAGAGTGACTATTCTCTATTCATCAGGAAGCTTCCTAGTGACAAAAGCAACCAATGTGTTCAAAGACATGTGAAGAAGCTATGAGGCTCTGCTCAGGGGAGAGGACTTAAATGGCCACCCTGGGAACTTGATATCTGGTAGTGGGGCTAAACCTGAGCCAGTGGGGACTCTCACACCTCCTGTCCTGGGCTCCTGCCCTTTCAAACCCAGGCAGCCTTGCCCTACACGTGTACAGAGGCTCTAGGTCTTCATGGAAGGATCGCCCCACCCACCCGCGGTGCCCCTAAGCATCCCAGCTGCTCCCCAGCTTGGAGGCACCCTGGCCAGCTGGGTCCTCGCACAGCCCTGTCCTTGGAGCTGCTGAGGCGTGAGGGAGGCAGCTGAGCTAGCCTGGCAGAAACCATCTGGGCTGGAAGTAGGGACAGGGACACGTGCAGCAAGCATGTGGGCCTGGACACGTGCTGGGGAATGGCTTGCTCCTCCCCGGGGCACCTGCTGCAGAGCCTACCAGAAGCTCCAAGGATGACACAAGGTGTCCATTGACAATGAAGAAACCTAGTGGCCCTTGTCCTCATCCTCAAACCTGGGTTTACTCAGGGTGGAAGTGAGGACCCCATGGTAGGGGTCAGCTGCCCGCTCTCTACAGACCAGGGCCCAAAGAAGGCAATAGAAATCACAGAGAACTGGGAAGGTCCAAGTGCCATCAGCTCACATGTACACACTTCATCATCCTCTCTCTTGACCTACCAGGGCATCCAAAGAAGAAGCATGTCAGAAAGGAACTTCCTTGGCCACTTGGCCTTAAGAGGACACAAACACCTAATAACCGCTGACTTAGCTCCACTTAGTGAGCAGGGATGGGGCTTGGCAGGGGCCAGCTGCCGGGTGCACCTCCGAAGCTGTATCCTAGAAACAAGCACTGAATGGAGGTGGCTTCAGTTCCAAACTGGGACCCAAGAATAGAGTAGCCCAAGGTCATCAGCAAAACTGTACAAGAGGCAGGAATAGATTCTCCAAGCAACTACTGGAGGTGCCCATGGGACAGAATCTATTAGCTTCAAACACAGCAGTGGGCAGAAGCCAAAGGGCAAAGGGCATAGAGGAAAGCAAGTCCCAGCTATCTTTAGGCACATCCTGGTGCTGGGAACGGGAGTCCCACAGCAGCATTCCCTCCCACAGACAGGCCAGCTGGGCTGGCAGGCAGAGCACAAGGTCCAGAAAGCTCAGTTGGGGCAGAGACTGTGGGACCTAGTGACTCATGCTCTCTGTGCTCCTGATGTGGGTCGTCCATCTTTCCTGCCTGTCTAACTCTTCCAGGGTCATTCCAGAGAAAAGGAGCAGACACAGAGTGCTCAGAGAGCTTCATGGGTCTTAGAATCTCTATAGTTAGGAGAGGGCAGAGCCGTACCCCACTTCCTACTCAGGCCCATAGCAATTCCAAGACTTGTGAGGGAGAGGGTGGGTTCTTGCTTGGATTCTAACACAGGATCCAACCCCTAGTAAGTATATAGGCTGTGAAGTCTCCATCTGTACCTATTTTGAACACCCTGATTGCAGGTTGGCTCAGGAACACTTTCAGAAACTTGATTCATTTAGACTCCTTCCAATAGTGGGGTCATTCCAGGGAAGGCTTGAGGGGCTAGAGAGAGGGTCTTGAGCCCAAAGCAGAACCTCCCAGTGCTCTCTCCCAAACTACTCCTCTGGACCAGGCACTTTGAATCCCAGACACAGGGTTAGTTTGGAGGCGGCTCAGTAGAGACCCCAGGCCAATCAGTCTTTAATTGGATGAGGGAAGCAACAGAAGGCATTGATGCGGAGGGAGCCACTGAGGGAGGAGCCATCCTCTGTCACTGGCTTCCTCCCCTGACAGCTTTCCAGTCTGGCTTGTCCCAGAGGCAAGATCCTAAGAGAAAAAGATACAACCATAGTCCTTGGTATAGGATCTGGCATCTTTCTCTTGGCACTTGCTTCCAGTGCCAACCTGCTCCATCCATCATTGAGTCTTGCTCCCTCAAGAACCTTCCCCAGGCCTTGTTTCTTGAAGGGCCTCACCACCATCTCTCCTGTGATTTGAGGCAGAAGGCAAAGGAAGGGGCATGACCTGGGGAAGGGGAAGAAGGAGATTATCTGAGAGGCCTCAGGCCTTACTTTTTGGAGTGAGAAGGAACCATGTAAGTAGAGGAAAACCAGACAGTGTCTAAGGAACCCTTGATCAGCACAAATGCACAACACAATGTGGGCGTGGGGTGACAACGTGCAGTCACTGTACAATCCTGTCTGTCTTACTGTCCTCCCAGAAGGACAAGATGCGTCCTCTCCAGAGCACCTCTTAGACCAGGAAGGGGAGTGTGCCTCCTGCCCCATGGCAAGCTTTTGCAGGGTCTGTTGGTAGAATCTGCCCAGGTGTGGGCTTGGAGCCTGGTGCTGTCTAACCTGCTGGGTGAGGGGCTGCCTGCCCAGGCTTGGGGCATCCCTGGCACTCAGGAGTCCTGGCAGTGCCAGCCCTGGCCCCATGGAGCCTCCTAGGCCCTCCTGTCATGGCAAGTCATTGGCAGGAGATCCACAGGGCAGTGTGTGTGACACCCTTTCTCCTGGCAATCCTGCCCCTGTACTTACCAACATCCCTTTGGCACCTTTTCCTACCATGGTGGCAGTAGGTTGGGCTCTCTGGAGACCTGGACCACACTTACAGGCTCTGCTTGCAGCACTTTTCAGACAACAGACCTCAAGAGCTGTGTAGAGAGCAGAGAACAAGGTGAGGCCCTGACCTGGGCAGGCTGTGCATAGCCTTCAGGGCTCTGCAGAACAGGTAGTACAGAGCCCTTCACCACCAGCTAGAAGGCCCTCATGTCCTTCCCACCCTGGCCCACTCTTTCTGCCAGGCCATTCTGCATCTCACTCCCTTCCGGTTGACCCCTGGGTCCAGCCCCTCCCTGTTCTTCTCCCAACCCTTCCCCTGGATCCCTTATTCTCCAGCCTTCCTGTCCCAATGGGCAAAGTTCTATTTTTGACTCTCCAGATGCCCAATCCTATAAAAGACAGAAAATGGACACAGAACTGGGACAGGGTCCAAGTCCTTCATTGTCTGTGTGAATGGCCACAACCTTTGCCCAGCAGGGGAGTCAGATTGGATCAGCACACGTTTCCCAATTAGGTGGCCACAAAGGTCCCTCCCCACCCTGGTGCCACTCCGAGTGGGCTCCAGGACAGCTGGACTTGTTGCAGTATCACTCAGTTGCTAAGTAGTCATGCCTTCTTGCCTCCCTGGTTTTACAACTCCTTTTCCAAGGTGCACCAAGTGACAATCTGCAAGTCCTTCAGGCCTAAGCCTAAATGTCATCTCCTCTCTGTAGCCCTTTCCTGGCACTCCCCCATCAGAATGAACAAACTGCTTCCTCCTTTCTGGTTTGTGCCTTTATCATCTCATATTACACATATTTGCTTATAAGTCTGTCAGCCACCAGTGAGTGAGTTCCCTGAGGGGTTGGGACTGGGTTCTCTTTACCCCTAAGGGCCTAGCATCCAGCACAGTGCTTGGTTAGCAAGAAGTGTTGGCTGAAATGAAGGGGAACCAGTGGGACAGAGGCAATGGAATTCAGGTCTGGTTTAACCTGGGATCTCAGAGGATGCATCTAAGAGCACTGTGGCCAGGTAAGCTGGAAAGGAGGGCACAGAAATGGAAGGAACAAGTCACATGGCAAAGCTTATGCATTACAGGTTTAATGTCAGGTGTGGTAGAAGAGGGGGTACCTCTGAGACCTCTTCTTCCTTTCCCATGGACAAACAACACAGCAAAGGCTATTCCGGGTCACTCTGCCTCACCCACAGCCACCTGTAAAGGCCACTTTTCACCCATAGGAAGTATTGGAAAGTTAGAGGAGAAGTAAGGAACTCTTTACCTATGCAAATCAGCCCTTGACTTCATTACATCCTTTGCCCTGGCCACTTGGTCTCCTGCAGGGCAGCCTGGGAATGGAGTGATGTGTAATCATTTCCTTTTGTCAGTGATCAGGACTGGCCTCTGCCTCTCAAAATGTCCTCCTTAAGCAGTCCTGTGCTTGGCTTTGGTCTTCTGAGGACAGTTAGGAGAAGGCTTTGTTCTTCGGCAGGGCATCATACCCTGCCCTCCTCACTCTGCATCCCCTGCTCCCCTACTGAGATGCAAACTTTAGATCTGACCTTCCTAAACCTATCTTCAGTCAAGGAGTAATAATGACGATGATGATAGTAGTAATAGCAGATGGCGTTAAGAGCCACCTCACTTGGAAATTATTATTCTCTTTGGTCAGGTGAGTAAACTGAGAACAGTGTCCTGGAACTTTGGTTGTTATCCCAGAGGTTATCCCAGAGTTCCTCTTATGGCTTATAGTTGGAGAGACCCATTCAAGAGGCCTCATGCCTAGTCTGTAAGGGTCTAAGAGGGCTTTTTCACCCCTAGAATCTTTGACTGAGGTGACCTATTACACCCAGGCAGTCACTTGAGTTTGTTCTGGGCGAGGCCCTCGATACCAGCTGCAGATGCAGTTCCTGCCCTTAGGTAGCTTATGGATTGTCAGGGACAAGACTGCTTAGAGGCTGAACCAGAAGAATGAGCAGATGTAAAGCTTTACTATTTCTTCTGCCTTTGTCATTCCTGTTAAATGGCCCCCTCCATTAAAAAAGTACCCATTGGGATATAGTTCAGTGGTACAGCATCTTGCCTAGCAAACTCAAGACCTTGCACCACACACACACACACACACACACACACACACACACACACACATACACACACCAATTGAATGCCCACGACATGCCAGGCCCTCTTCTAGGCTCTGTTTTGGGGCCCCAGACCAGCCCCAACCCATATATGGACTACTATTGACAAGCAGTTTAGCATATAATAAAGTCTTCAGGCTCTGATGTGTGATAGACTTGGCTGGCCTCTGCCTCTGCAATTTACTCAATATATGATCCTGAGCCTTGCCTAACCTCTTTGAGCCCAAGTTTTCTCAATCTGGAAGAGGGGTCAATAATTCCAACGTAAACTCTGAAGTTTCTGCCTAATTTTTGTTTCTACTACAAGCCCTCCACATTTTTCGCCCCTCCAATCCATCAATCTGCCCAGAGCTCTCTCTAGAGCCCTCATTCCCTCCAGTAGTTCTCCACAGCCAACAGGATATGGCCTGAATTGCTTAGCAGGCATTTAAAGCTGGCTACAACTAGATTCATTTATTCCACAAATATTTATTGCAGGTCTGCTCTGGGCCGGACCTGTGCTAGGCACCAAGGACTCAAAGATCTGGGGGAAGAGTAAAATTGATGAGTCAAACTAAGTAATTACAGACCAAGATAAATTGGTGTAAAGGAAAAAGATCCTTTTATGTACTGTATAGCAAGGCAATACTTCCCTGAGGACATGGTGTTTAAGGGTCAGAAGAAGTTAATCAGGCAAAGTGCAAACAGTAAGGTAGGAAAGGGGAGGGGAGATTGGAGAAAATGAAACAACAGGTAGGAAGGCTCTGAGGCTGAGCTCAGGTAGCCAGGGAGAAAAATAAAGGCGGACAGATAAGGAGGATGAGGGACTTTGGATTCTGGATTTCAGTTTTCATCCTGATGGCACTGGTGGCTATTAAAGACTTTTAAGTAGAGGATCATCTTGGAGAATGGATAGCTGGAATACGTGTTTTGAAAGCATCAGCCCTTGGGTGTGGTAATGTGGCCTACAGTCCCAGCTAATAGGGAGGATGAGGTGGGAGTATCACCTGAGCCCACAAGTTTAAGACTAGTCTAGGCACATAGGGAGACCCCCACCTCAAAACAAAAACATACAAGGCCAAAAAGGAGCTGGGCACAGGTGGCTCACTCCTGTAATCCTAGCTACTCAGGAGGCAGAGATCTGGAGGATCACAGTTCAAAGCCAGCCCAGGCAAATAGTTCATGAGATCCTATTTCAAAGAAACCTATCACAAAAAAAGCACTGGTGGAGTGCCTCAAAGTGTAGGCCCTGAGTTCAAACCCCAGTGCTGCAATATATATATATATATATATATATATATGGAAGGGAGAGAGGGAGGAAGGAGGGAAGAAAGGAAAGAAGGAAGGAAAATCACCCCAGATATAGTGTGGAGAAAGAATGGGAAGGAAGTGAGAATGGAGAGTGGAACAGAAGAAATCAACTAGCAACAGGCCAGGACAGAGAGGAAGGGGTTTGGGTCAGGAAGGTGATGACGGAGCAAGGAAAGAGGCACAGATCTGAGAGAACTTTAGGAGGTAGTATGGTGAGACTTGGTGATGAACTGGACTTCTGGGGGGGTGGTGAGGGATAAGGAAGGGTCTCTGCTTTCTGCTGTTGCAATGGAAGCTGGCAGCAGTTCCAGGGACAAGAGTGCTGGTGATGCTGCAGGTTTGGAGAGGGGAGAGGATGAGCAGGATTGGACTAGCTGGCTTTGGGCTGCTTGTGAGCCACCCAAGGCAGGTGCTAAGAGGGCAGTCACAGGACCATTTACAGTCTTCTTGTTGGTGTCTTTCCTCTTCCCCAAATGGAACCAATTTTAAGAGTCCATCTGGACCAAGCCCTGGAATCCTCACGGGACAGAAGGTAACAGTTCCCTGGCCTCAAGGACTTCACCGTTTAGTGTGAAGAAACAGGAGGAGGCATAATCTCACTGCGATGGAGATAGTGAAAGGGCAGTGGGAACCTGGGAAGCTTCCTTCTGCCTGGGACCCAGTAGTTGCCCCAGGTTGGGACTACTCTGCATTCCCAGAGCCTCCATGCCATTGCTCTGCCAGCAGCTCCTTCTTTGAGCACATTTGTTCTCATTTCCACCTGTATATATTCTACCCATCTTCAAAACCTGTCTCAAAACCATTATCTTCTTGAAGACTTCCCCTCCTAGTTGCTGTCAACCTTTCTATGAACCCCTAACGCACGTGGTGTACGCTGATTAGTATCCCAGTCACATGTAGGGTTGCAGCATGCTTGCTCGCTCTTTTAGGGTAGAAGTGTGAGTCTTCTGGGTCCTCACAGCCTGCACCACTGCAGTCCCGGAGTATGCCCAGTAAGAGCGTTTTTTCGGCGGTCCTTGGAAACTCTTGGGAATACTCAGTCTTCCCCACTAGTCCCTAGAAACAGTCCCCTCACCCCCTACTCTCCAACCTTCGTTTGCTCCCTCACTTTAGGGGGTCTTTAACCTCTCAGGTTCTTCTCTCCTTCCCCTTCCCTTCAATTCCCCATCCTTTATCTCCAAGCCTCAGGCTTGTTTCAGTTAAGAAATAGACCCAGCTTTGTGAGGGAGCTGTCAAAGACCTGGGTACGCGGCTCCTTTAAGAGTGATCAGCCAGGGGGCGTGGCCTACGGAGAGCAGGCCCGAAAGGGGGTGCGGCTCCTTTAAGTAGCGGCCGGAGCTCCCGAGCTCAGGCCCTGAGCGGGCGGGTGGTCAGGGGCGCGGTCGCTTTAGGAGCTAGGGCACCACCCGGAGTGCCCCAGTTCCTCGAAGTGGGACGCATCCGCTTTAATCGGGGTGCAAGGTGTGTGTATGGGGGGTGGGCGTTACATCAGCCACCACGTGTGGGCCTCTCAGCTGGCGTGAAGGAGGCGGCCCCGCCCCCGGCCCCTGCCGTGGAAAAGTACCGGGGTGCCGCGGTCCCCGCCCCCTTGCCCCGCCCCCGGGCCGGCAGCGGCCCCTCCCGACCCTCCGGGCAAGCCCCCTCCCGTCGCGCCCCGGCCTCGCAGCCTTCTCCGGCCCCGCCGTGGCAGCCGGGTGCGGGGCGCCGGCTAGGGGTGGGTGCCGCGGGGCTGCTAGGCCCCCGGCCTCACCTGCGGCTGTCCGGGCACGCCCTAGACGCGCCGGGAATGAGGTTTGGGGTGGGGAGGGCGTGGATTTTCCCCTGGGCAGCAGTCCCCCCAAAACTCCCCACTCGCAGTCCCTTTCCAAAGCCACGGCCAGGGGAGCCGTGGACAAAGAGAGCCCGAGGGTGCGGAGACTCTTCCTCTCGGCTTCTCCGGACCCGCGGGCGCGCGGGAACTGGCACTCGGCGGGCGAGTGGGCGGGCAGATAGGAAGGCCGCTGGCTGGAGCGGCCAGATAGGCAGCCAGGCGGCCGGCGGCTAGAGGAGATGGAGCGAGAGCCCGCACTCGGAGTGTGGACACGGCCGCGACTTCCCGGCCCCCGCAGGCCCCCCGCGCGCAGACCCGCTGGCGCCCCAGACGGACCGCGACACGCTTTGGTTCCGGCGCTACCCGCACAGCCCGGCGCCCGCCGCCCCCGACCGAACCAGCATCGGCACGCAGCTCCCCCCCCAACAGCGTCCCCCTCCTGGTTCCCGCCTGCTTCAGCTCCTTGGTGACAGTGGTGACATCCAGACGCGCGCACCTACCCCGACCTTTGCGGCGAGACAGACATCCTGGTGCGGGCACCCACACTCTTACCCACAGATGCCCGCATGCATGCGCGATCACATACACACAGCGCACACACATACACACACGCACGCGCTGGTCCTGGGGCTAAGCCCGGCGGAGCCACCAACGCTCAGATCCACAGCTGGACAGATGGAGGTGCCGGTGGCTGTGCCCCGTCCCCCAGCCCCTTACCATGCTGCAGCCCCCGACCCAGGCGTGCTGGGTCCGCACCGCGGTGCGCCCAGGTGGCTTTCTTAAAGGGAAAGTTGCATCAGCCTCCTGAGGCTCTGTGCCGCCGCGAGTCCGCCCGCCGCGTCGCTTGTTGCTCCTCCAGAGCTTGTTGTGTTTTGGTTTCGGGGAGGCGGGGGCTAAGAGTTTGGTGAAAGTTTGGAGAGTGAAGAAGGCTTGAGAGACCTAGCCAAGTCCCTCCCTCCCAGAACAGCTCCCCTGGCTGCCCTCCCCCCCTCCCCATCCTTTCCCCTCCCGCGTGCCTACTTCTCAGGCTCCTCCTCCTAGGGAATAAAATTACAAGTCGCTCCAGCTTTCAGATGATTGATCCCCACGAACCCCTGGGAGTGAGGCTCGTCAACCGAGCCCCCTTCTCCGCCCCTGCTTCGCTGCCCTCCAGCTGGGGCCCTTGGAAGAAGCAGATGTCGTCCCCTTCGGGCTAGACTGGAATGAAGCCCAAAGGCCTGGGGCACTTTGGGGGGCCGGGGCTTCAGTTAGCCCGCCAGGCCCCTGGCCTTCTGCGCCTGCGTTCCCCTAGAGAGAAGTCAAGAGCAAATTCCGTTCCCTTTGGAGCAGCGCCGCTAGAGACTTGTGGGCACAGCTGGGTAAGGCCTGGGACCTACTCCTTAGAACGGAAGGGCTGGGGGAGCCCTTTCTCCAGAAACCCTCCTTGGACACCGATTTGGTCAGCCCTACTTTGGTGGTAGTTCTGCAGGGGCTGCAAACACCCACGTGGGCTCCCTGCTCCCTCGGTGGGGAGAGAGACCTGGGTTCCAGTCCAGTTACATGAGCCTTTGCCAAAGGTGTTTTGCTGAGCCTCAGTTTCATCCCCTTTGAAATGCATACCTGTTCACATGAAACACGTTGCTCCAGGCTGGCAGTATCCCTGGCATTTGGAATGGGGCCTTCACATTTGCTTACCTTGAAAGGGCCACCAACTTTCCAGAAAGGAACCAGTTAGTACTGACTGTCAGAGGAACTGTTGCCCCAACCTGAGTGGGGCATCTGCTCAAGGAAGGCCCCAGTCTGGGGAGACAGACTCCACTCTGCCTCCTGAGTCCTCACCATTGTCCTGCCAGGAACAACTGGTTTTATTTTTCTCTGAAGACACTCAGCCTCCATGTCAAAGTTGCACAAGAGCAATCAAGGAGATTCCACTTTATTAATTTATAATCAGAAGCACTAAACAAGATAACAAGTGTCCAACTCTGACACATCCTGTAGTGTGGGTTCTCTCAGATGCACATGAGCCATCCGCAGCTCTTCCCCAGGGCCAGGTCCATCTACACTGTTCTCTACTGTCTTAGAACTCATGACCTGTTTACATTGAAGACTCAATCAGATCAAGACGCTTATGTCCCTTTTTTTCTTTGTCTCCAAACCTAGCATATACAGCCTGTTTGGGTTTGTATTCTATGAACCAATTTCAGGTGGGTTTTTTTTTAATGTGTGGATGGGCATGCACACACCTATATCTGAGCAGTCTGTTTTGTCTGGGGCCCCTGACCCTGTGCTTGTGCAGGTATCTCCAGAAGAATTACTGCAGGCACTGTAGCAGGCCTGTGTAGTTGTGTGTGTGCCCAACTCCTGGGTCTGGGGCAGATAAGATTCAAACCCTCACCATCTCTCTGCCAGGACTTAATTCCCTCCACAAATTGTTTCTCGTCTGTCCTTCCCTGCTTTCTCCCTGGCTTGTCAAAAAGGGCTCCCTCCCAGGGAAGGCTGTTGGAAGAAGCCCCCAGGTAAAGAGGAAATAAGGAAGAGTATGACTGGGGTAGGGATAGGGATCCCTCCTCCTCGTTGGGGTAGGAGTAAGCCTAGAGGAAGGCACTGAGAGGATTCTGAGAACATTCATCGAAAGTTCTGAGAATTTTCATGGCCCAGGGAAAGTGGAGCTTCCTGCCTACTCTAAGGAATCCATGTGGAGGGAGGCAGTGAAAGATGCTGAGAGCCAGAACCCTATCCTTCAGGGCCTGGAGAGGATAGAAGAAGAGAAGAGGAAGGTACTCAGAGTTCAGCCCTCTAGAGGCTTCATCAGAGAGTTTTGGGGATTTACCTGGGGACAGGAAGATAGCCTAGGACTTTAGCCTATGGAGTAGGGAAAAGAGAATACTGTTCATGGGGTGTTTAGGGAAATGGGAGACGTTGGTCATAAGGGTTTTGCTAAGATAACAGTGACATAACACAAAGTGTATTTGTATACACAGACTAATGGATATGTATGTGTTTTACCCACTTTGATCCATAAAGAGCTTCAGGTGTGAGTGAGCTTCCATAGTGAGTGAGTCTTGTGAGGAAGGTTCTAATTTGAAAAGCTGTCTCAATGAGACAGAAACTGGAGAGGCTGTTTTTTTCCAATTAGAATGAGGTCCCAGGGGAGGCAGGTCTGGGCCTAGCCCAGGTCAGAGCTGGGATAGCCTTCATGCCTGACTGGGAGCTCCCCATCCTGGGCAGCTAGCCCACAAGGAGGAAGAGCATGGTCAGTCCACACCAGTGTGGAAGAGGTGGGAGAATGAGTCTGACAATGGCCAGGAGGATCAGGGGTCAGACATCCTAGCCAGCCTGTGTCTTCCTGGGCCAGGGCAGGCAGCTGCTGGGCCCCACCCTTTGTGGGCTAAGGCGTGTCTCAGGAGCCTCCAGTTACAGTGCTATTTCCTGGGAGGGCTGTGCCCAACATCAGATCCCACTGGGTTCCTCACTTGTCATCATCAGTCAGCAGGATTAAGTCCTCTATGTTGGGACTGTCAGAGTCAGTTTAGGTGAGTGTCTGATAGAAAGAGGGATAATGCCAGACTTGAACCACTTTGGGAGGGCATCTTGATGGACACCCTTACTGAGAAATTGTGTGGAGGGTAGATTTTGCTTTGAATTGGAGCCTGGCCTGATCAGTGGTCTCCACCTCCTCAGAGCCCAGCCTCAGAGGTCAAGAAGCATTTTAGGAGTGCCCTGCCTGGGCTTGGCTCTCAGATTCTTTCTCTTTTGAACTTAGAGCCCAGTAGTCAGTGCCTGACACCTTCTCCGTCTTCACCCAATGCCGGACAGTGGCTTAGATTGGCGTCAAATCCAAGAGGCTCCAATGTGCCTCTCAGGCCATCCTGCCTCTCCTCTTACCTCCCCCCATGCTCCACACAGCATAAGTCAATCCAGGCTGGACCCCAGGTAAAATCAGATTTATGGGCAGGAAGTATTGATTTTGGTTCTCTCCAGGGGCAGTTCCAATCTCCAGAGCAATCAGTGCCCAGATTCCTAAATACCTTAGAGCTCCTGAAGTCTAGCATTCCAATGCCAAGTATGCCAGAGTTCTCAACACTAGAGGATTTAAAACCCACAGCTCCCAGTACGCAGAGCCCCAGTGCCCGACCTCCAAGGGACCTAATGCTCAGGGTGCCCAACCTCTAATGTTCCTAACATCCAGCTTTCAGAGCACCAGTGTCCTAATTCACTTGGAAAGAGGAGAGGAGGGGTAACTCTGTATGATCTGGGGAGTAGCTATGATTGAAGCGGACTGAGATAGTGCTGGCAGAAGTGGCAATGCTTTCCTGATGCTCCCATCCTGGATCTGGAAAGATCAAGAGGGGCTGCAGGAAGGATGGCTTGTCCTCCAGCCTACCCCATCCTGGTTGCAGGACCTGATGTCTATTTACTTACCAAATACACAGGTTCATCTACAATGTGCTGGAAATTGTGCCATTGTCAAGGAATATAGCCGAGAGAGAGAGAGAGAGAGAGAGAGAGAGAGAGAGAGAGAGAGAGAGAACAGTCAACAATATGTCTGTGTTGAAGTGTTGGTTTTGGAGTGTGGCTATCTGGAGCCAGTGTGGCCAAGGATACAGCCATGAGAATGAATGGCTGTTGTCATGCATTGGTGTTGGTGTGCAGCTGTGAGCAGTGTTAGCAAGTTGATGTGTATGACTGTCAGAGCCAGGGAGTCTATGTCCATCTGTCTTTCCTCACTGCTATTCTGAGGGATGGGATGTAAGGGCCCCTTTCCTCCTGGGCCCCAGGTACTATCTGGTCTCTCTGTGGGGAAGACAGGGCTAGTTCTAGAGCTGAGAGTGACTCCTGGAGCTGCCATGTATTGGGTGTAAATTTCTCCCACTGCCTCTGACCCTGCCCCTGCTGGACCCAGAGTCTCTTTAGATTGAGAAGACAGGAAGAGGGGTGGCTATAAGTAGAGCAGCCAACACCAAAAATAGCCATCTGCCCTGGGGAAGATCCTGTGATACCGCCCCCTGCCCCCAGTCCAGCTGCCGACCTGCAGCCTGGGCAGGCCTTCTTTCTGATTCCACTTTCTTAACCCTGGCCGACTAACCCTCTTCAGTTTGAAAGAGGGACAGAGCAATGATATCATTACAGATGATGACGTCATAAGGAGTCATACATCCCAAGGGGAGATACCAGGGCCTCTGTGTGCGTGAGGGGGGTGTGGCCTGCTGCATAGGTGGGTGGGGCTCCAATCTGCTGGCAGCTCTCCACACTCCCAGCAGCTGGGATGGTAGGGCCAGATAAGCCCTTCAGGGGGACCCTGCCTTATCTATTCCCCACACAAGTCTGATAAGCCTCTTATGAGGCCTGGCCTGGAGAGCAGGTGGGAGCTAGAAGAGGGGAAAGAGCCAGCTGGGGCTGAATGAGCTCCAGGGAACACAGCCTGGGTCAGGGGGTGCTAGCAGAACTCCAAGAAGGGGGGGTCACTGTGAGAGCATGTGGAGTGGTAGTTAGGGGCCTGGATGCTGAAGACAGGCTGCCCTCATTGGAATCCCAGGTCTTCTACTTAATACCTGTGCAACTCGGACGTGGTTTCCTCAGTATTCCTCACCAGGAGTACTATTAGCAATCCTGGTTCGGGAGGGGATTAAAGGGTTTGCTATGAGTGAAATAGTCCTACAAGAGGGCCTGGCATATTAAAGTGCTCGTTCTCTTTCCCAGATCAGGGTCTTCCCAGAGTACGCCCACCAGGCCTAGCAGTATACTGAGCTTAACTGGCATTTCCAGAGTCTTCCTAGACCTATCATCTCCACACCTACCCAATCTGTACTCATTCCCAAACTTCCCAGGAATCCTGGCCTTTCTGGAATATTTTCTTCTAATAACCCTTTATAACACTTTGGAGTCCTGGTGCCCTCTGGTGAAAAAAGCCATAAATGGCAGTTATAGTGGGATCCCCAGTACAGTGGGTTAGACAAAGGACTGTCATTTGGTTATTTTATGTCATCCTCACGTCAAGTTTATAAGGTAGGAATTATCG